TAATTCGGCTGAATAGGACCTGAGAGTGTGTATATCTGACAGTTTCCTAGGTAGTATTCATGTCAGAGCCATTGCCCTAGACCTTCTTCATGAGTAAACCCAGTAGAAAGTATCTATGGTGTGTCTGAGGTTTAGGAAATGTCTTCAGTCCTTGTTTTAGGTTGATTTCATTATAATGTCAAGTATGCTCATTGCTGTCTGGGCTGCTTGTTCATAATAATGCGTTAATAACTTAGTAGTTAGAGTGCTTTCTTACCTAATGAGCACAGTGCCACCTAGAGGTGTTTGCCCAAAGGACCACCCCAGGCTAGAGGAAGCTGTAGGGTGGAGGTGCGCACATTTCCAGGTGTGGTCATCAAGGGCATATCGACAACCAGCTAGATTAGTGTGTAGTGCTGCAGGGGTATAAAAAGAACAAAGTTCTAGTCGCTGTCTGTTAGGCTAGTGCTTTTCCATCTGAATCCTCAGCAGCCTGAGGTTCTGTGTGGGCTGAGGAGGGTTGTGAGCTTCTCTAGCCCCATCCAAGCAGAGCAGTTCTGCTTCCTCTGGAAGTTGCATGTGCTGGTCTGTGCTGCAGTAAATTGCCCAGCATAGGCGGGACAGATACGTTATTCATCAGCCACGTTACTGTCAAGACCACGCTGAGATAACATCACATGCTAACAGTATGTTTTGCTGCCTGTTGACATATTAAAGTTATGAATAGCTGAAAATAATGTTCCAGTTGTACTACATTATCACAGTCACAATCATTGTAAGTTGAGTGTAATAGAGAACATAGATGTTCACCTGTATCAATGGGGGTCATTCAGTTTATAAAGAAAAAGAAAATTTGAGAAAGTAGTTCCTTTGCTTTGACTTATTAAAATCAGCTTAGTTGATGACATATTATCAGTTATTCAACTAATTTGTTCAAAAAGTAGAAAAGGAAGCTAAAACCTGTACTTGCTGAGTAGTAATTATAAAACATTACTTCAAAAACTATATGATTTTAGCTGGGTGTGGTGGCACATGCCTGTAATTCCAGCATTTAGGAGGCTGAAGCAGGAGGATTGTTACAAGTTTGAGGCCAGCCTGGCTACAAAGTGAGCTCAAGGCCAGCCTGAACCCTGGTTCAAAGAGAAAAACTAACACAATCTTGCAGTTAGTGCTGAATTTGGGTCGTGGTTTATCTAAAGGAACAATGAACTCGTCCCATGGTAGTGCCCCAGATAGGAAGAGAGAAGAGCCTGCTGCAGTTTCTCCGGGGCAGGACCAGGACTCGGGGAGGAACAGAGGCAGGCGGGAAGGCGGGATGCGCCCAGGGCAGGGACACTCAGTCTGTCCAGTAGTCCGGATCACAGTCATTAGGAATGCAGTCCGCTCTGGGGCAGAAGCCGGGAGGGCCGAGCCAGAGAGGCTGGCAGTTGGGCAGTCGGCATCCCAGGCAGAGGGGCTGTCGCCATGAGGGGTCCTGTCCTGCACCACCGACCGGGCGCACTGCTCCGCGCTTCGTATTCTTGGAAGTCTTCTCACCATTTACAGAACGAGTCCAGGCTACTGGGTTGATGTTCCGTGTCCTGCTGGATTATTCACAAGCTTCCTTTTGACCCTTTTGCTCCCCTCTCCCTATAGCCACAGCCAGCTGGAGAAGAAAGCACCTCACACTTCCGCGCCTCCTGCTTTGGTTATTTGCTAAGTCCGTGGCATTTTGTTCTTGCTGAATTTCTCGTGGGCCCTATTTCTGCTGAAGTCCTTAGAAGATAAATCACTGATGGTAGTCAACTGGAAAGCATAGTTTGAGGACCTTAGATTCTACTATCTGTTTGGAGAATAGTAATTTAAAATCTTACGTAAGACGTGTGCTTAGAGTTGTAGTTTTCATTTGTTTTTAAGTAAGAAAGTGGTTTTGAATAGAATACTTGTCTGCTGTCTGCTTACTGTGTCCTTTTGCATCCTTGCAGAGTTAGCAGAGTTGCCTCGAGGCTTAGGTGCAGGAATCTTAGAGAATACTTAGGGAGCTTGGAACCGATGAGCCTAAACCGTGGGAGTGTGCCTTCACACCAGCTCGCAGCCGGGGGACAGTCGTGAGAGGAAAGGCTTTCGGATCCATGAACTAAGTGAGCACACGGAACTGGGGACTGGTTCTCATCCCGCTGCCTCGCTGCCGTGGGACGGGAGCCCCGCAAGGGCTCAGGGCTCTCAGCCCTCTGAGTGACAGAGAACGGAACAGTGTACCCTCCCCTGTGAAGTGCATGCAAGAGCTGGGGACACAGGTCAGGGCGATCTCGTTTTTTAAAAGAATTTATCTTGAGTAATTTTTTAAGTCACAGAAACATTTAAGGCTTATACAAACAGTAGTATGACAGTCCAAGTTCTGTTACTCAAAAGCGACAGTTAACAATGCAGTAATTCCTCAATAATTAATACACAGAAAGTTCTGTTTTTATGCCTCTTCAGTTCCCCCTTCATGAATTTAGAGCCAGTGTTTCATGGCTCTCTTTATATTGCTATGTAAGTGTTGCATTATGTATTTTAAAAGATTTACACAAGTGCCAAGCGTGACGGAGCACACCTGCAAGCCCAGCACTGCGGAGGCTGAGGCGGGAGAGTCTCGACCAGCTTGAGGCCAGCCCGAGCTGCGTGGCGAGGCCTGTGGGGTGGCAGGGGCTGCCTGGCTGTGCTCTGCACTCATCTTGCTTGCACTGTTTTTTAAATATGTGTTCTGTGTTTCGACTTTTTTGTACATCTTACTTTTTTATTAGAACTGTTACTAAGAAAGCAGGGAGCCACGTGTGGCGGTGCACACTAGTCAGCCTCACACTGGGAAGGCCGAGACAGGACAATTGCAAGTTTGAGCCTAGCGTGGGCAGCTTAGCAAGACTCATCTCCAAATTTAAAGATAAGTAATAAAGGGCTGGGGCTATAGCTGGGCTCAGGGGCCCTAGTTCAGTCCCCCGTACCAAAAGTGAATGACTGCGGCAGGGGCAGACAGGAGGGGAGCAGGAGGGAAGACGTGTGTGTCTCAGCGGGAGTGTGCGCAGGCCTGGGTGCAGCCCCAGCACCAGTGAAGACATGTTCCCTGTTCCCCGGGCGTGATGGCGGATTCTTCTTTTTGAATGACACACTGTAGGGGATGTATAAGCCCACCTTTATTTTGGGAGAGTATTTCTATTGATGAATTGTTATTTTATGAGTTTTATTAAAATATGCACTTAAAGGAAATTAAAAGTAAAAATTTGATGAATTGTTATTTTATGAGTTTTATTAAAATATGCACTTAAAGGAAATTAAAAGTAAAAATTATTAAATATTAATATGTAATAACTGTTTAAACATCAACATTTTCAATATCAACTGTTTGTTTGCTTACAGAATCTAAAAATTAACAGCAAAAATGCATTTCCATTGAAATCCAATGAAAATACAGACGAGGCCACCACAGCAATAATCCTTAGTCAGCACACCCACTGTTTCCTTCCTCGGTTGAATCAAGGTCTGTGGGCTGTACTTTTGTGTGTCATGACTTGCTGGCTTCTTCACTTACATGACCCACGTCATCACTGGTAGCTAAGTCACCTGAGGACTCCTTTCATACTCCTCCCAAAGTTGTAAAAGTGAATCTTCATGCAGTAATATACTGAACTGGGCTAATTCTACACAAAAATCAAAAGAAAACATTTAGTAAGATAAGTTATACACAAAATGTTATAAATAAGCTATACACAAAACATTTAGTAAGATAAGTTATACATACACAAAAATGTAACGCAGTGCATAACACAGGTAAACCCGTTCACACTCTGACACACGTGCGCACACCTTGCTGTTCTTCGAACAAGTGAGTGGACACAAAGCCTGCTTCCTGATTCCCTCGGGGTGGCGATACCGACACACAGCCAGCCACCGTCACCCCGACTCCATCTGCTCATTAGAACAGTATGATGGGGCGACCTTTCCCCAGGTAAGGGGTGGAGCAGTGGTGGACCCGTCCCCGGGAGCACTCATCTCTCGGCAGTCTCACCAGTTCTGGAGTTGTAGAGTGTAAATACTGTTTGTGTAAAAGTCCGTAGTTGGAACTTAAAGCTTTTTCATTCAGTGCGTCGCTGGGCATATGTGTGTATAATTGTGTATACAGTTAAGGTTAGACTGCTACGCTTGTGTTCAAATATGCAGTTAAACTTACATGTGGATGGTAATGTGCGTGTAGTAAAGAACATTTTCTGTTTATTTTGGGTAACTTGAAAAGAAGTACAGTACGTATTGAGGCCAAAGGACTATTACCTTTCTGTCATGATCCAGTAAAACCCTGTTCTTTTCTCAAGCAAATTCTTGAGATTGCAGCTTCAGGATTTGGTTAATCGTGTTTTTACATTTCCTCTTAGTACACTATGACCTCCCTCAAGACAAAGGTAGTTTTTAATTAGATTTTGAAGAAAACAGTTCATGTGTGAGTGACAGAAAGGAAGGGTATTTCAGATCAAGACTGTGCTAGTTACGAGAGACAACACTGCCACTTATGCCTTTAAGCCTAAGTTCTTTAAACAAAGCGGTAACGCTGTGTGACTGACATTCTTAGTTGTCTGTTAATATAAATTAGCCTAACACAGTGGTTCTCAGTGTGTCATCCAAGCATCAGTAGTGAGTGTAGACACGCAGGTTCTTGGGCTTAGCCCAGACCCACTGAGTCATAAACTCAGGAGATGGGACCAGCAGTCTGTTGTGCAGGGCTTCCAAGAGATTCTGTTCGTGCTCTTGCTTGAGAACTACCAGCCTAAGCTAACTGTGGTCGTGGAATATTTGAAAGGTCATGGGCGTGAGGACAAACAGACCTGATCTGAGCTTAATAGATCTGCAGTTGTCAGTCTGTTACATATCAGTGCCGAGATTTTCACCTATAAAATGAAAATGATAATGCTTTCCAGCATTGTAGGAAATATGGTTACTATTGTCAGTGCTTTTCCAGTATAGTGATTACTTTTTCTTATAGAGTGAAAGTGTACTTGTATTTTTGCTTTCAGATCCAAATGCTCAAGAAATTGAGGACATCTATGGACTGCGTGGTCAAATAGAGCACAAAATCTCGTTTCTGAGGACTCAGGTGCCAAAGGATGTGAAGCTTATCCTCATTGGCCACTCAATAGGCAGCTATATGGTTCTTCAGATCTTGAAGTGTGTCCCAGAGCTCCCAGTAAGTATGCTGTGGGAGGGAACTGTGGGTGCCGGATTACCCACTTGCACAAGCCCTCCTGGAATTTCCTTTGCTCTTTTGTCTCTTGGTTAATAGATACAGATAAATAGGACAGAGACAGGGAGAGCTGGTGGCTGCCTTATCGTACCTGTTACGTGGACCTGTGTGAGCACGTGTTCAAAGAGTAAAAGGGGACACAGTTTCTGAAATGAGTGCCTGCGAATCTGGGATCGTCTGGAGTTCCAACATTACATTGCACTTGCAGTCTTCCATAAGGGGATATTTAAGAGCAGTTCTCAGCCAGTCCATAGATAAGAATCTCATCGGTTTTGGGAGAGTATTTTGCAAATATTTATGCCTAGGGGCTGGAGGTTTAGCTCAGCGGCATAAGCACCTGCCTTGCAAGCAGGCGGTTGTGAGTTCGATCCCCGGTACCGATAAAAAGGAAAAAGACAAAAAAAAAGAAAATATTTATGCCTCTCTCAGAAGTAAAACAATGTATCATCATCATCAACATCATTAATAGGCCAACAATACAGAAGACAAATCTTTAGTCTTGAGTCTGGCTTTTTATATATTCTTGACTTGACAGCCTTTTTGAGACATTTTGTTCCTTCACACATACTTCTTGGGTGCTGCTATGTGCTAGATGTTAAGTGACGAACTGAAGTCACAGAGATATATTTGAAGTGAGCTACAAGAGACTTAAAACAAAAAGCTGCACTTTGAGTAACAGTGTACCATTGAAATGACCCACAGGATAGATGTGATTGGCAAAATTATTTATTCATTCAACGGACATAGTAAGGACTGTCATGTATCAGGCACTGTACTATGCTGACATCCGGTGAATAGGATGGTCTTTGAGGTCCGAGAGCCTGGAGTGTGATTAATAAAAAAAACCAGACTAGCCAACGGTGGTGACAGCTGTCGCCTGCTGCAAGAACTGGGAGTGTGGGAACAGGCAGCAGTGCTGTCTCACCTAGTAATTGTAAGGCGGGGAGGAAGGGACCTCTCATGTCGCCTCTTTGTAGGATCTCAGGTTTTTCATCCCGCATGGTAAAGTGTTTCCCAGAAGGTCTCGGAGCTCCTTGGGAATTTGCTCCTTTTCCCGCCCACTTGACTGATCACTCAGTGTGGCCCTCAGAAAGAGAACAGCTGTAGTCTTCCTCCCAAATGGAGGTTTTTAATTTTCTTCAATTTCATTAGGAAATGCATTTTTCATTTCTAAGTGAATTCAGTAAATTCAAGATTATGTTCTAATTTGCATTATTGCTTCTACTCTTCGGGAGTTTTTCTAGAAAGCGTGGTTTAAGACAGAAGGGTAGGCTTTGCTTTTGCTTTTTGTCCTGGATGTGGCTTATCGTGTCTTTGGTGCCGCTGAATCTCTGGCACCGTGCTGTGTGATTAGCAGCTCTCTGGCTTTCTTCCTTTGTCTTTGTGGTTTTCGCTGCTGCCTCTTGGAGGTTCCCACGTGCACACTGCTGTGAGCTCTCGCTCTAGAGCCAGCACACTTAGATTCAAATACTTCAGTGACCTTGGACAAGTTATTGAGTCTCTACCTCAGTTTCCTCATGTAAAATAGCACTAATAATACATCCAGAGTATCTTTGTGAGGAATTATATCAAGTATTAAATAACAGTACAAGTATTGTCTACTATGATTATTGCTATTATTATTCTACAAGTATTATCTACTATTGTTATTCTGGAAATGACACTAGAATCATTGGCATGGTCACTAGATTAACTACCTTATTTGTTGTCTGCTGCTGTGTATCAGGTTGCCTCATAGCTTAGCACAGTAAAATCATATACATGTATGAGATTATAATACATCTAATTATAGTCAGGGCTTACAAAGGAATAGATTTAATACAGGACACATTATGTTACAATCCTATAAATTCACCCAAAAGTCAAATGCAGAGAGTACAGGAGGTCTGGTCCACATACTAGAGACCCAGAGAATCCAGCCAAGGGCCTGGATCCCACAGCAGTGTCCTGCATGGGTCCAGCTGGAGGCCAAGAGCCCACGACAATGGCTCATGCAAGTTGTATCAAGGATCTGCACTGGGAAGGCCCAAGGTCAGTGGTGGAAGCAAGAAAATCTGCACCAGTGGGATGAAGGATCTGTGTCAGCAGGCGAGGGGTCTGCACTGGAGCCCAGAAGTGATGCTCAAGGTAAGGACCAGAGCTCACAGCCATCCTCAGTGACAGCAAGAATCCAGCTCCTCCAATGGTAAGAATAAGTGAGTTATCCGGAAAACCAGCGTAACAAGCTTGCCCAGGAGAACCTACAGCATACACCTTCCCTCCAGGTCTCCTTTTAAGCTGTTGAAGCAGTCCTCAGCTGGGCCCGCCACACCTGGCACCATGCTGACTCAGTTTAGATGGGTGTTACAAGCTGATCATTAGTTAACCCACCACGGAATGTGATCAGAACATGCAGTGAATGGTCAAACTTTTCAAATTTGTTACCCTAAAAGACATATTGTCATTAATTTTCCTCAAAATACTCCCCTTTGTCATGGCTTATATCTAGATATCCCCTCCAAGCCTTGTGCACTCCTAAGTGAGGCTTGTCAGAGCAGGCTGGATCTAGGGTGTGATGATACTGGGACTAGGGTCGTGTGATAACGAAATCGGTTTGGCATAGTTCTCCGTGTGGATGACGGGAGCCCCGCTGGGGCAGGAGGCTTGGAAGGCCTGGGCGGATATAGAGGGGCAGGAAGAACGCAGGCTGCAGCTCGCTGCCTTCCTGCCTGCCGCCTGCTCTGCCATGCGCTGCCTCCTCTGTGATGCCCCTCTGCCATGCCACATGTGCCAGACATCAGTAACAACAGCAGAGCAGAGCACAAGAGCCACCTGCGTCTTTACTGAGTGACTCTCACACGGTGGTTCTCGTGTTTACATTCTTGCATAGTGCTGTAACCGCGCCTGCGTGTTCACCTGTGCGAAGTCGTGGTTACATAACTGCATCCCACTGTGCGCCTGCGCGAGACAAGCAGGGCCACTTCTGCAGGTGTCCTTCGGCACCCTGAGCTTTGAAGCATTCTGAGTGGTTCCCCACAGTGGGCCAAAGCAAACCTTTTCTCCTTTTGCTTGTGGGTGTCGGGTATTTTGTTTCAGCAACAAGGAAAGTAGCTAAGACATCCTTGCTTCAGATACACTTACGGCATCATTCTTGCCGCTTTCTTAAGCAGTTCTGGAATCCTGTTTTGTGTGTTAACAAGGCAGGATCAAAAATTTGGTGAATGCTGCTGCTGAGTGCCACTGAGTAGAAAGCCAGGCTCATGATGTAATGTAATATAATGATGTGTCCTCACCCGCTGCATTTACAAACACAGCGCATTGAGACTTCCGGCTCCTCCCCAAAGTCAGAAGGACCATGAAAGGTGAATGTGCTGAATTGATTCAGGACACTGAGACAGACACAACAGTGCACCTGAAGACAGGAAAGAAGACTTCCGGAATTGTTCAAAAGTAGCAAGAGTGATTGCTGATTGTGTTCAAAGTAAGAGAAAACATTTTGAAAGGAATTAGTTGTAATACGTCTTTACCGTAAAAATCTAAAGAGAAAGCGCTTTAAACATTCACCATACATTTTGGACACACCTCATACTCTGTCACAGTTTCTGGTCAGAAATCTAGCCACAGCTCAGCTGAGTCCTCTGCTTAAGGGTCTCTCCCGAGATTGTCATCAGCCTGCCTTCACGGCCTCATAGGAGGACTGACCTGAGGTCTGCTTCCAGGCTCGCTGTGTGGTTGTTGGTGGGGTTCACTTCCTAGCAGCTGTTGGACCGAGGGCCTTAGTTCATCCCGGGCAGTCGGCTGGGCCTGACGTTCCTGATCGCTGGCTTCATGACAGCAGACTGGTGAACGCTGGGGAAGGAGTCTGTTGGCAAGATGGAAGCCACAGACGGTGACTCAGTTACAGCCGTGACAGCGCACTCTCGCCGTTCACGTTGGCGTGAGTCACCAGGTCCAGCCTGCACTCACGGAGGGCAGGTACACCACGGTGTGAACTCTCAGAGGCCAGGGACACTGGGCACTGTGTCGGAAGCTGCCTGTCCCTCTGCTCAAAAGCTGGATTTTCATCAGTGTGTACAATCAAGCATGTAGCTATAAAAATGTACGTAAGTCAAAATATTGAATTTATTTCCTGCTAGAGACATGACTTATCCCTGTTAAAAAGATTCATTAAATGGATATGAAATAAGAACTTTTTGCTATTAGTTATTATTTTGTTTAAATCGTTGTAAACATTAAAAGGGGCACTGTGTGAAGTAATAGCAGCATTGCTGTTCAGTACACATGGGGAGATACTCATCCTCAGGCCGGCCCGCTCTTGTGTTCATCCCAGGCCTGTCTTCAGTGTCGCTTTCTTTGCCCAGCCCCTTTCTGCTTCTGGTACGTGGTTTCTCTTATGTGTGTCTGAAAACAGCTGTGTAACACATCCGCTCGCGCCTTCTTCTCTTTTGGTCTTGCATTGCAGTGTCCTTGAGAACGAAGTACAGCACTTCTTGCAGTTAACGCCTCCCCTCATAGCTTAGGTTCATTACCGAGTAACTCCTGCATTGCCTGCGGGGTTCCCGCCGTGGCGGGAGCCGCAGTGGAAGGGACCAGGTGTGGCTCCGTGGTACCGCATGTGCGCAGCATGTGTGGAGCTCGGAGTGTGATCCCCTCACCAAGAGGAAAAAAAGGAATCAGGGAGGGAAAAGGAAAGGAAAGAGGAGGGTGTGAAAGAAGGGAAGAAAGAAAGGGACCAAAAATAGCAATGAAAAAGATGAAACACAAACTTAATTTTTGGAGATGCAACTCATACTGTGACCACAGAGTTTTTAGAAAGATGTGAAACTGTTTTATCTTTATAAAGAGAATTCACTAGAAAATGATCATGTGATAAATTGTCCATAAAGTGCACCCTTTGGGGGAATGGCAAGAGGATGGGGCATCTGCGTGGTTGTTTATTAGTGGAAGCCTTTCTGGTTTTAATTAACAGCACTGTTAAAATCCTCCCGCCTCCTCCCTCCCCGGTTAAACACCTGGGCCGGTTCATGTGAGTGGCGTGATCCCTGCTGAAGTGTTGAAATTTCAGTGTCTCTGGGCTGCTCCAAGACAACACAGGGCCTGCACGCCAAAGTTAGCACGGCACGCTCCATTTGAGACGTGCTTGACAATCAAGTAAGTTTGTATAAGCCAGAGTTTTGCAATTCCTAATCATTTTGCCAAAAATAAGTTAACTGTTATGTTTTATAACATATGAAGTGTGATAATGAGAAACTTGTGTTTCCATCTATCCTGTTATTTTTACTGGAATTTTTGACTCCCGTCAGGTTTTGAGGACATATTTGTAGTTCAGTAGCAGAGCTATTTGGTTTTGTTTTGCTTCAGTTCTTTGTAATATTTTTGTAACTAATTGTAGGCAGTTTTGGTCTTATTTTAAGAACGTACTGCATATGTCAGCTATATTATCTGATCAACATTGGATACTAAAAAGATTACTTCTTCAAAAAACTGATATTTAAAAATTTTGTTTTTTCTTTTTATAAGTTTGGTATATAGACCTATTGAAAATTTTCGGATATTTTACCACTCACTGGAGTCCAGAATAGGGAACTGGAAAGGCAGTGTTATGGAAGATTGCATGGTTGTAGTTGTTATAATTTATAATAATCACACTTGTTTTTAAACTCAGAGGACCTTAGACTTGATGTTGGTGTTAGATATAATCAGCCCATCTTTCATTTTATAGGTGAAAAGTGAGAGGGCCTTGTCAGGAATCACTGCTGGCACCGTCGGAGCCCTGGCGTGGGTTATGCTGTGGTTTGATAAGTGTCTGCCAGAGACCCCTGTTGAAGGCTTGGCCACCACTCGTGGCACTTTCCAAGGGCCGTAACCTGAAGGAGGAGGGCCTCGTGGGAGGAGATGCTGTCACTGAGCATCACAGCAGGAGCCCTCTCTTCTTGTCTTTGCAGCAGCCATCAAGTAAACAGGCCCCTCTGTCACATGCTCCCCGTGTGATGTCTTGTGCCACCAGAGGCCTAAACACCATGGTCCAGTGGGCACGGACTAAAACCCCCAAAACTGTGAGCCAGATAAAAGCTTCTCCTCTTTATATGTTGATTATCTCACAGTACCAGAAAATGGAGAGACACAGGTGTGCTTACACCGGCTGTGGGTGTAAGAGTCTAAGGCGGTACCTGCTGATGGCTCTTCCAGCTGTTGGATGTTAGTGAGTCCTCCTGTGCCGTGACTTGCATCTGCAGCGTGCAGTTAAAGTGGCTGTTCCCCGTGCCACATCAGGGAGTAGGATGTCCTGAGAACGCTGTAACAATTTGGAGGGAGGGGGCAGCTGACATGGAAACTAAACAGTAGTAGGAGTAGTTACCTCCTTAGTTACTCGTCTTGCTGCTGAGACAGAGTAACAGGCACCCCAGTTAAAGGTCTCAGTCCATAGTCAGCTGGGGCCAAGGGAGGGAAGTGGACTGAAGGGAGTCCCAGAGAAACAGTTCATGGCTTGGCTGGCTGCAGCGGCGGCAGCAGCAGCCTGCCTCCCCATCACATTCCTCGGGACTATGAGCCTGCTGATTGGTACTGCTCACAGCCAGGGTGGGGCCTCCATCATCCACGCCCAGAACTATGCCAAACCTGTTTAGTTACCTACACCCTTAACCCAGCACCACACACCCGGGATCCAGCTACCTCCAAAAGGCCTACCCATGAGCACATGGGGCTTTGGTGGGGGTAGGGGGATGCACAGATATAAGACGTAATACATCCCTTTGTCCAGAGTCTGCTTTCTGTCATTATCATGCTCCGATTGTTTAAAATGTGCCGTCTGGTTTTGCCAATCTGACTTTAGTGCCTAAAGTTTAAGACTAGAGGTTAGCTAGAGCCTGCTCTGAGTTCTGTGGTAAACTTGAGATAATACGGAGGAGGGAAGAGAGAAAAGGAGACGATTCATCTGTCATAGTAACACATCGGGTGGCAAAACCACCCGGCTGAGCCTTTGGATGACCCAGAGGGACCGTGAGGAGGCATAATCGCTGCAGTTTAAGCCGTAGGGTCCGTGGGCTCGTGGGTGGTGCGTTACACAGCACTGGTAAGGGAAGCCGGGTATCAGAGCTGAGTGTGGGAGAGGCCGAGAGGCTGAGAGCATCTGACAGCGGGTGTTAGGCTGGAGGTCGGGATGAGCCTGAAGGGAATGCTTCCGTGAAACAGCGGCCGGAGGCGCAGGAAGCGAGGTGGTCAGTAAGACAGGTCTCTAGGAGTGCGGCCGTGCAGCAGAAAAGACAAGATACGGTGAGGTCAGAGAACTTTGTCCCCTGTATTTGGAGAGGAAAATTTAACATTTACCGAGGGAGCACAGGCAGATATTGAAACTGGAAGGGAAATGGGAGCATCTGTTGTGTCAGTTCTCCTTCTGATCACCTGTCATACCCATATACTTGAGAACTAGGAAAATGAACCTTTCTTAATCTTTGCGTCCCTGTAAGTGTTTTTCTCTGGTGGGGGATAGCACATGTGACTTACATTTGGTTTTTCTTTCAGGTTAGAAGCCTGATGAAGTTTTAAACTGATGTTGCTGTCATTACTAATAACAATTCTGTGTCATGTTCATTTGACGCTTTTAAAATATATTCACATGAATGAGGTCATTTAACAGTTAATTTTTCTCGCCTTACAGTGAAACTGAGATTCTAAGGGTTTTGTGTCCAACCTGTATGTCGATTATGGCGAAGTGACAGAAGGGCACTGTTGTTTTCTGACTTTCCCATTATTTGCTTTCCAATTGAGTTGATTAGAAAGTTTATGATTATAGATGGCTACAGTAAGTTACTTTCACAAACCTCTAAAAACTATTTAGCCTCAATTTAAAAATTCTGTTGCTATTTCTTTAATACTTTGATTCTTCAAATACATAAGGAGGTCTGTTAGTGGAAGGCAGGTGTGTGCTTAGGGGGGCACTAGAGATGTGGGGGGGAAATGACAGCACATGGTAAGTGTTACGGAGCAGGAGACAGAGAGCCCTGGGCAGAAGAGGATGGGTCACAGCCTTCGAGCTGACCTGGAAGGAAGGAGACGTTGCTGGGAGAGGACAGACAACTCTGCAGGCATAATTCCTCATCAGCTGTCACTTGTCTACACGGGACCCATCAATGAACCCTGATGTGTGAAATCACAGAGATCACACAGTCTGTGACTAACTATTCTATTTATAAAAGACTTCATTTCAGAAAATGATAAATCTACTGAGGAAGGTTTTGTCAAATGCAATGAAATACAGTGATCCTAGTGACTTACAAAGGTATTTAAGTATATACACATGTTTACCTGTGCACACACACCGTCTTGTCTGAAGCACCTAGGAGAATCTTTGCTGAAAACAACACACTTGGGAAGTTTCAACTTTTCAATTTTAGCCATTTTTTTATTATCTGTATATTTTTAAAATCCTGAAATTGCTTTCAAAGTGGAAAAATTATGTGGGTTTTTTTTTCATCTTTTCTAGCTAAAAAACTAATATATTTTTCTCAAACTTTGCAAAAAAATATCACCTTTGGACTGAAATGAAGCATGGAAAATTTCACCATAATGGGCTAATTTTTTGGAAAGCTGCAAGAAAGTGAAACTGGGTTTTATAATACAACATTTTTCCTGCATGTCAATACTTAGTACTTTATTTACTGCATTTCATCTGAGAATTTCTGAATGCTTTTTATATTTAAATGCCAAGCCACTTAAATATTTGTGTGTCCATGATGTTCAGATGTAGGAAATGTCTCCTGTCTTTTCAATTTTTCGTAAGGCGGCTTCCCGGGCTCAGGTAGGGGAACTGACGCAAAGTGGCTAAGGACCACATAGACCTTTACACCTCCTGCCTGGTACGTTTTTGTCATTACCTGTTCCTGCCCAGGAGAGTAGGCTATCGCAGATGACACTAGACGTGGAAAGCATGTCTAGCATATGGACGGCAGCTGCCAGGGCGGTGTCGGCTTCGCCTGGGATCTTATTAGAAATGCACGTTTCAGGGCTCAGCTGTGGAGGGCGGGCACCAGTCAGTGCTGTGTCCAGTGCTGACCATTCGGTCAGGTTCAAGCTTGAGAATCATCCACTGAAGCTTTTTGAAAGAGTAAAGCACAGAATGAATGAGAATGCTTTTGACAGTTAAACGTGTCCCTGGTCTTTCTGTGATATACCAACTCTGTCTTCTAGCACCTCGTGGAAGCAGGAGGATGCTAGTCACTTTCTTTACAGGTAGTTTTTGTATTAATGTTCGCTGGCTCTTCCCTGGCACTTAGGAACCTGTCCACACACCAAGAATCCCTGCTAGTTCAGAGTAACAGCACCGCCAACCTGTGTTTTGTCATTCTCTTGAGTTACCAGAGTCAAGCCTGGTATGGACGGGCACTAGACAGTATTTCATTTTCATCTCCTTGAAGTCTTTAATTCCAAGATTGATTTATCCATTAATTATTTGTGGCGCAATGGATTGAATCCAAGGCCTCACACATGCAGGCAATCGCTATATCGCTGAGCTACATCCCCAGCTCCTGACAGCCAGCGTATAAACAGAGGACATCAGTTCTGTCAGTGGAAGCTGATTTAAGCTCTTCTGTTTTGATGCAGGTCCTCAGCCTTGGGTTCTGCACTAATCTCATCATTCCTGCAGACTCACTGTCTGTGGCCTTATAACATTCAGAGGTTATTATCCTGGTGACAGGTATCTGCTCTGTGGCTCAGGCCTGGCGTAGTTGTAAGGATGGGGAATTTGAGCATAGCCCAGGGCAGCAGTGGTGAACCTTTTAGAGCTGTCAGTAATCAGCCCGCTGCCCTGTGGGCGCCATCGGTCTGCTACCATCGGCCTAGGCAAATTCACAGAATTTAAAGGTCTGTTCAGCAACAAGTCATCTCAGTGAAACACGTAGCTATGTAAGCCAGTATGAAAGGAGAGGAAAAAGATGTCTTAACATGGACAATATAAAGTTTTATTGTGAAAACCTTTAAAAAGAAATAAAGTAGTTGTGTGATAAATCTCCAAATGCCCAGTATCCAGAGTAATAGAGCCACTAATACTTTGTTAACTTTGTTCCATTTTTTCTTAATGACTTCCAGGTAAATTATACCCCTCTTGACGTTTCATCATGAACTATTCCGCTGTGTGTCTTGAGCAAAGGACATTTTCCCTTGGCGCTGCCTTGTCATTGTCACGCCTATCAAGGTGAACGGCCGTTCTCCGATATCACCCGTTACAGTCCATACTCAGATTTTCTGTGGCCCCCAAATGTCTTTTAATAGTTGCCTTCCAAGATTCTTCTTTAAAAGTTTATTTCTAATTATAAATTAAAAGTAACTCCAGGAAGGCAGGGGGGAAAAGTCTTTAAAGAAACAAAAAACAAAGGCACTGTGAAAGCAGTGTCCGGAGAGACTGTGTACACAAATTGTTTTTATAATGTGCCCCGTGGCTTCCTAGAATGTGAAAGTAGCTTGCAGAATAGTTGAGATAGATGTCACTACACTTTGCTTCAGAGACACTAGGTGTAAGAGTTCATTGTTTTAAAAGGGTCATATTGAGGCTGACTTCTCTGAGTTGCTGTGCTTAGACTAGAGACAATAATGTAGCATCCCCTCTCCACTTCTTCAGTGAAAAGAGAGGAAAGGAACATATGTATCACACATGTTCAGAGTGAAGACCATTTACATTCTCCGTGAGGAGCCTGTGCGTGTAGACAACACATCTTGCCCGCTTACAGTTTACCCCAGACGTCACTCGGCAGTGTTGTTTATGTCCTGCCTCTGCAGAGCATCGCTTGAGCAGGCGTCATTGCGACCAGCTGATTCTTGTTCGTGTGAGACACACTCGTCTGCCTGTTTGGCTGTTAGGTACGGGTGGCCTCAAGCTTACGGGTCCTCTGCTCAGCCTCCTTACTGTTGGTGTGACAGCCGTGTGCCACACACCCAACTTACCTCGCTGTTTATGTCCACTATCTGTTGCATGCTCTTTTACTTAGAACATCGTATCACCTTTGATGTTCGTTTCTAGTGAAATCTAGTAAGAAGTTCTGATTGTTTTGCTATTTGTCTTTATTGGATTTGTGAAAAATAACCTGTAACTTTGTGCTACAATCTATAAAAACTCTTGTGGTAAATGCATTAGATATAATTTTTATACTTCTCCGGAACTTGGTGATATTCTTTTACAATACAAAATGGTCACATTTGGGACACTGAAACTGAGTAGGAAAGAATTGCCAAAAGATGTGCAAAAGAAAAAATAAAAAGGGAGAAATGTTAGCATATCAGAGAGGAAAAGTCAGTGTTACAGAATGAAAAGTCAAAAAAAATTTCCTTATCATGAACTATTCATAACGCAGAAGTGATTGAACTTGAAAGAAGAAACAAAACTAAAAAAATCCAGTAGCAGTTGATGTTTGTAGTAATTTTATGGGTGGCGTTGACAGTTGATCAACATCTAAAAGTCTGTCCTATAGTCAAATGCAAGGAAAAATAGTATTATAAACTTTTTATGTACCTTCTGGACCAAGCAATATGGAACTTGTTTGTAATTTTTCAAACAAGGAAATTCCAACAGTTATTTATAACTTAGATTAGATCTAAAAGACCAAATAATTGAAAAGTACAGGATAGCAAATCACCAATCAAATATCCATCATTGACATCTTCACATCGTGGTTAGCATTACTCACAGAAAAAGAAAAAGGCCAGCATTTCAGAATAAAGTGTGTTGTTCAAGAAAGATAATAATACAAAAAAGAGTTTGGAAAGAAACTAAATGGTACTGTCCAGATTATAATGTTACATTATGTATTAAATATTTGAGGATATACTGTTCCTTATAAATTTGATAAAATTGTCTTTATATTTCCTGTTATGTATAAAAATTAATGAAAAAGTATGCAATTTTTGGTCACCCCATATTTAAATAATTGGACTGGTAGGTGGTTAATTCCTATTTCACCTGCTTCCCTCCTGTCTCCAGGTCTCCTTCCTATCTGAGAAGGATTTGAATTGTATTCACATTGTTACTTATTAGGGTATGTTTAAGATATATAATCCCTTGGGTATGTTTTAAGGTAGTTAAGGTATATAATCCCTTGTGTATGTTTACAGTACTGAAAGATCAAATCAGTTTACCGTGGTGGTAGCTAATCCTTTCACCAACTCCGTGAGGATGCTGTTGTTTGATTTTATACAAGAGGAAACTGAGACTTAGAAAGGACGTAAGTGACTCAGTCAGCGTCAGGCAGCCAGTGAGCAGCACTGCTGGGGTTTGAGACCACGTCTTACCCCCAGAGTCCATGCTGCTCACTACCTTCTACTGTAAGGAATTTGTAGAAATGCATCAGATTCTCAGATAAGGAGGCAAAGAACATGGCAGATAACTCGCTAAAGAACTAGCTAATAAGATATTCCAAAAACCTATATCCCTGGCCGTGTATGACACAGTGATAATTAGGTGGTACACAGGAGTATGTAATGATTCTATGTACAGAGCACGTAGTGCTTACTAGTGTGTATTTTTTTTTTTTTTTTTTGGTCTTTTTTCCTTTTTATCGGTACCGGGGATCGAACTCATGGCTGCCTACTTGCAAGGCAGGCGCTTATGCCGCTGAGCTAAATCCCCAGCCCCCAGTAGTGTCTATTTGATGAGCAAACCTCAACAGGTATCAAAATTAACTGCTACCTTTGCAGAGCTGCTTGTTTTTTGCTTTTTCTAAGAGTAGAAAATTTTATTGGAGAAAAGGAATGGGGAATAGGGATGGGGGAATGAATGGGGAACAGGAACAGCTCCTAAGAGTCAGGAGGGTCCCCGAACGGATTACCAATGAACCCACCTCAAAAAGGAAATTTTATAGTGAAAATCATGAGGCAGGTTCAGTGTGGGTCAAAATTATGATCAGCCAATAAGATTGCAAGTACAGTTGCTTAGGTAATACTGATCTAATAGTAGCAATGGTGCATGCGTGACATCATTAATCTTGGTCAGTAATCCATAGTCTTATTCTTGTCTTTAGTCTCGGCAGTCTTAGTTTAGGTGGGAGAGGATGGCCCACCCCTAATGAAATAATGGGCAATCTGGAAGGGTGACAGCCACCATCCCAAGCCTCTGTCCTTCCCTCAGGATGTAGTGGAGCTAGCCATTGTGACTGCAGTCTTAGGTGCACCTGCGACCACAGTGCAGATGGATTCTCGTCCTCTCACTGACTGCCTCCAGGACCAGCCCTGCTGACGGCCTACTGTTTTTCTACCTCCTCTAACTGTCTAATACTGCCCCACCCCAGAAGATGCATCCCTGCCTGTGGTTGGGGGAGAGGGGTGAGCTTCTGTCCGGCCACTTTCAGCTGACCTGGGTATGTGGAGGGGGAACCGCCACCAGGGGCCTTCTGTGGAGCCCAGAGCTTAGAAGAACGAGTTGTGTTGTGTGTGTGTGTGTGTGTGTGTGTGTGTGTGTGTGTGTGTGTGTGTGCTTATGCTCTGAGGGGTCTGAGCAGGTGACTACCAGGCAGAGGAGAGCAGAAACAGGTTCACGGAACTCTGTGGGACTTCCTTTTTGTAGTTATTTTTCATTACAGCCAGAAACTTCTTTTAGATCTGTTTGTAGACATGAGGAATGAGAATGTGATCTCTAAGGGAGGGAAGGCTCGTCAGTGCGGTTATCCGGCGTATGAAGTTGTTTTACACTCACTCACTGCTTCTAAGGAAAATCTGCGAACAGTATGCAGTGTTGACCACAGACAGTCCCTGAAGTGGAAAAAGCCTAGCAGGCACTAAGCGCAAGATGCTGCCCGGGAGTGAGATGTGGCCGCTTTGAGACCCACATTGCCGGCCAGCTCAGGCGATTTATGTTCGGTTGGGAAGAAGCGAGAGACTGTCAGGTATCAGGAGGTGTGTGGATGCCAGGGTAAGAGCGTAAAGCCACAGATGCCCTGAAGCCTTTTAATGGCACAAACTCTGAAGTTCTGTCCCTTCAGTACAATGAGGTTTCCAAAAACTTCTTCAGCTTCTTGGCCCCCTAACTTCTCAAAAACCTGTAAATAACTCAAGAAGCTATCTCAGCGCTCCTCTTTGAGTTTCCTTTTCCCCATCCGGGCCTTCTGGCTCTGGTGCTCTCACACGGTGTTTTTAGTGTAACAGGGTGGTTTGTTTGGGGGGAAAGAGGGAAAGGAGGGTGGGCAGCTACTGTGAGGTAGTCGGGGCTTCAGAGCTGGAAACCTGGGGTTTGTGACCTTTGTTATCTGGAAAGCTTTGGAACTTTAACTGTCCCTTCAATGTTACCTCTTACAGTGGTATTTCTGGGACTGGTTCCTTTTCATTCTGGAAACTGCCATATTTCCACACTGAGAACTTCTCCCTCACATGTAAGCTTTTGGAAATGATTGTCTTTGTTGTTTGTATTGTTCCTGTTTTGTCTTTTAGTTGAATATGATAAGAAGCGTGAAATTTTTCTCCAACATTATCTTCTAACTCATCTAATTAAACTCTTGATGTTAGCATTCATGCAGATAGTTTCCAAGGAATTTCTTGATTTTTTGTTCCCTCTGTACTTTTTTCCACGGGTCTCTTTCTCAGGGAGCAGATTTTCAGCCCTTTGTCTTGCATTCTCTATTTCTGATTTTCTTTTTTCCACATTTTGTTTGTGTTGCTTTATCATAACTGAAACTTTGCTCAGCTCTCTGATACCTCTATATTATCTAAATCCATTTAAGAATGAGGCATTCACAGTGCTGGGAGGTTTTGTGTGTGAGTGCATTTTGTCAGCTGCTCAGCTTTACTGAGGCAAAGTGGATGGGTACCCTGACATTTTTTGTGTGTGGTATTACCCAGTTTCACTCTCTGGATGATTTTCTTTCAGTTTTTCCAAAAGTGTTATCTTAGCCAGGTGTAGTGGCGCTGGCCTATGGGGGCTGAGGCAAGAGGATCACAGCTTGAACCCAGCCTGGGTGACCTAGTGACTTACCAAGATCCCACACCGAAGTAACAAATGAAATAAAAAGGGCTGGCAGTGTAGCTCGGTGTTCAGCTCCCAGTGTCAGGGCGGAAAGTCTTCAAGGCTGTTACCTGAAGTGAGCTGCTCGAGGGGCTGGCACGGCAAGCGAGCCGTGGCCCTTGCTCTCTTGGCTTTTCCCCACTTCTCACGCGCCCTCCTTTGCCCTGTACGCCCAGGGCTGGCCGCTCTCCTTTGGTTTTTACATGGAACAGACTTCCAGGCTGGGCTGGCATTGAGGAAGGGGTGAGACTGCTGCAGACTGTCTGTGAGGGGTGTGGTGCACCTGTGAGCAAACCAGGAGAAGCACTACTTGCCTTGAAGGGTTTATAGTCTCCTGGGAAGAGATGGAGACAGGCATGAACGTGAGCAGGTCAGTCTTTGCAGGGGTGAGAGTGTGGTGGCACCCACCCATCATGCCAGCGCTCAAAGGCTGAGACAGGAAGATGCCACGCGTCCCAGCCCAGCCTGGGCCACCCAGTGAGTGTGAGGCCAGTCTGAACTACACGTGAGACCCTTTCTCAGGAACCAAACCAAAAAGATGATGCCTTGGTAAAGAGTGGTTGGTGGAAGTGCCTCGCCCGGGGGATAGAGGGCAGTGGTGGGCTGTGAGCGAGTTTCTAACGTGTTATTTGGAAGTCACTGCAAAGTCCAGAGAGTTGGAGGAGTAAGACCAGGATGGAGAACACTGTGCAGTTTACTCAGGCCGCGGTTCGCCTCATTTGCTTCATCTGCTCATTCTCTCCCTCTTTCCCCTTTCCTGTCCCCCACTCCTCTCTCTCTGTGTACACACAGATCTGGTTAAGGTTACGGTGAGGGTATCTTTCCCCATTAGCCCGTCCTTACGTGTATAGCTTTTTCGCGTAGGGCTGTTCTCCTTTGTAACCACAGTACGTGTTTCAGTGCCGCTTAATCTAGCGTTGCTGTGATGCTTTAGTCTGCCTGCCATTCTCCAGCTTGGTCTTTCGACCTGCCGATACCCGTTTTGGTGTTTTGCCCTCCGCTCTGGGATCCAGTCTGGAATCGGGTATCGCATTTAATTCTCATTTCTCTTTATTCTTATCTCAATAGCATTCTTTTTTTTTTTTTTTCATAAAACTGACATTTTGAAGAATACAGTTCCTTTTTTAACAAAAGGAAAAGAAAACCCTCAATGATGTTTGTCTTTTGTTTCCTCACCATTACATTGAGGTTGCAGTTCTGGGCTGTGAAACTGTGTAGGTGGTACTCTGGTCTTCGTAAGATCACACCTCTGTGGCACAGAATGTTCAGGTGATGTAACTTTGATAACTCAAGTCAAAATGTTGTCCAAAATTTCTCTATATGCTATATACTTACTAGTTTTTTCCTACTAATTAATAAAATGTGTGAGGAGGTATTTTTAAGTGTCCTGGTCTTCATCATCATTTCCCTAGATTTAACATCCATTGTGTATCCTGCCTAATCTTTACGTGACAGCTGCAAAATGGCCTTCTCACCCCAGCATTGCTCCACGTGGATAGTCAGCCTTCAGTCTTCCGTAGAGATGAGCTCTGCTTTCACATTTATATTTGCATTTGTATTTATCAACATGGATTTTTAATTTTATTTACTAAAAGTATGCTTAGGACATAATTAGTGATTTTACTCACAAACTTGCCCCATATTTGGCCACTGGGAACCACCTCACTGTGGCCCCAGTGTTAAGTAAAGTCAGCGGGCCTCCCTGAGAAGTAACTCCCACACAGGCCTCGCAGGGCACCAGGATGCCAGGCGCTCCTACCGCCAAGGCTGGCTGGCCGGGATGTGCCTGTTGAGAGAACAGAATGCAGGCAGGAAGAAAGAAGGGAGTCTGGAGTCCTGGCAGCTCCCTGAAAGGCTTCGCTTTTTTACTCTAAGTGAGCAGAACGGGATCCGACCTAGCTTTCAGCAGGAGCGCCCACCCTGCTATGTTTGAAGTAGACTGTAAAAACGAGAGAGAGAGGAGGGAAGCCAGCAGTGAAGCCATCGTGACACCTCAGGTTGGAGGTGATCACAGGGAGCAGCTGAGCTGAGAGGAAGTGGGGGCCTGAAGGAAAAGCCGAGGGTATCCTGCTTGATTCATAGCACAGTGTGAGAAAGGAGGAGCCCAGGACGACTGCGAGACTGCGTGGTGTCAGTGTCGGGCGGGCTGAGAAAGGGAAGGAAGGGCCAGCGCCCATCAGCTGAATGGCGGAAGACCAGAGGGATTCGCTGTGGGGAAGGTCAGAGTACAGTCTTGGCATTCCTTGATCGAAGTGATGTGTGGACCTCTCAAGTTAAGTGGAGAGGAGGAAATTACAGTAAAAGAGAAAGGAGAAAAGAAGCTGGATGTGGTGGCACACACCGTATCCCAGCACTCTGGAGACTGAGGCTGAGGAGAGCAAAAGATCTAGCCCCATGCGAAGGCCAGGGGTTCAGTCCTCACTGCCACTCAGAGAGGGAGGGGGAAGAGAGGGCCGGGAGGGGAGGGAGGGGAGACAAGACCGGGGGTCCAGGGCGTCCACCATCAAGTCAGACTGAAAAGAAGAAGGCAGAGGAGTGAGGGGTGGGGGACAGAAGTGCCCTGAGTCAACCGGAAGAGAGGGCCCCACTCTGCGGGAACGCTGTGCAGTTCCATAGGTGAGGCCCAAAACCTGACCGTTGGCTTTAGCAGCGTGGATTATCTTTGCTGAACTTGAGCAGTTTTGGTAGAGTGGGAGAAATGAAAGATTTTCAGCCAAGGTGTCAGTGCACAGCCTCCACCTTTAGAGTTTCTAAGAGGTGAATGAATGGTCTTTCTATTTCTATCCAGATGTAAATAGAATACTTTGCCTGTTGCTGACAGTGGAGGACCCTCTGCAGGCGCTGGTGACTCAGCGGCTCCTCCGTCTCTCCCATTGCTGAAAGCCTGCTATCAGTGTTCTCTGGTCTGCTCCCCACATTCTTTTCCTTTTCCTTTTACATTTTAAAAAATTACTTTCATTTTCTTAGATTTCGAGAGAGAACAGAGAAGATAAATGAATGGCTTCAGTCTAATTCTATAAAGGAAGTCAGTTAAAAGACTACAGACTTAAGACCGGACACTGTCACTGTGCTACGTTATATTTCTTTTTGTTGCCTCTGTGTCTTCTCCACATCCTCCCTCTGTGTTCTGTAGTCCAGCAGAAGCATTCCAACATGCCTTTCTACTTCAAGCAAAGCAGTGAAACATGCCCTCAACCACACGTGCTGAATTGATTGTTTGCATTGTCAAATCCAGGTAGCTACATAGAGGTGTGTGCTTACTGAAAGGTATCCTATCAGTGTGGGGCTTTTTACTTCCATTGAGGATGTTCTAGCACCTTTCCTTAGACGATTGTGCGAGATCTGACTGTAGGAAAGGAAGATAGTTACTCAGTCAGTTTAGTCCAGGTTTGAGCTTACTGGGTAGACAGCTGGCAAAGAATTCCTGAACGTTTTCGTAGTGAAAGTGACAGTTTTTAAAGATAAGACAGGAGCCAGAGGTTTAGCTCAGCGCATAAGTGCCTGTTTGGCAAACGTGAGGTTGAGTTCTGCCCCTCCCCCCAAAAAGATGAGAAGACAGAATTGGAGTTTTCGTTAGTTTACACAGTGCTCAGCAGTCGTAGTTAAGGAGGAGTAGAGGCAGTGGCACAGAAGTCTCAGCTCACCACGTTATTGCAATGCCCTGGGAGCAGTCCCGGAGACTGGCTTAACGTCGAGGTGGGGAACCAGGTCGACCTGATGGATTCTGCGAGTCGCCTTGAAGGGTCAAAGGACACAGCTTGGGATGAGGAAGACAAGCTTGAAACAAGCTCTCACATTGCTGAATTTCCGGATTATCTGGAAGTGAGACTTCTTGGCCACAATGAAGCCACAGGTCAAAAGCTGTCAGCAGCATCAGAAGGTAGAAGCAGCAGGAAAGGAGCTCTTCCCGGGCCTTCCTGGCAGAGCTCAGCGCTGTGGTGCTGGTTTGGCCTCCAGACGGTGGAGCGTCTTCTACTGAAGCTCCCAGGTTGTACGGTACGGGCTGTAGGGATGTACCGTAGCAGCCTTTCGGAATGAATACCTTGTCCTAACCCCTGATGGCTATTCGGTTTAAGACGTGTGTGTGTGTGTCTGTCTGCTTCAGTTCTCCCGTGCAGTATTTCTGTCCCGGACCTTCCCATCTGTTTCTGTCTTGTCTTTCTAGGACTCATTTAATAGGACAGCACTTTCCCTGGATGGGGTCTGATTTTCTTTCCATTTGCTCATCTCCACTTTCACGGGGATTTCCTCTACTCCCAGTCTTCCAGTCTTACTTATTTTTTTAAATGAGTAACTTTTTTAATTTTTAAAGAATTCTATCTTACTTAGTGTTCTATTTGTATTCTACTCTTCATTAACATTTTCTTATCTATAAGCAAATTATAATTTCTTCTAATCCTTCATCATCCTTTCCTCTAAGTTCCTTTTCCTAAATTTTGCTCTCTGTAAGCTTTACTCTAATGCCTGCCCACACTTCCGTACCTGTAAGTGTGAAGTTATTTCTCAGGCTGGGCTTGTGTCCTCCCCTATGGAAGTCGGCTCTTTTGTCAAGGACCCCAAACATTAGGCTTATTTTAAGATGATGAGTACAGAGGTGCTCAACTCTGGGAGAGACAAAATTCCATTTATAGGAACAGTGTGAATTCTTACATGCTGAGGTACTGCTGATGACCCCCAAGCCACTCATAAAAAGGCTGCGATCCAGCTATGAGGATTGCTAATCTCTGAAGTAATGGTGTCTGTTTTAGTGAGATTTGGTTTTTTGGCAAACATATATATCAATTTAAGAGCCAAAGAAACATACGGTTTTTTTCCCCCTGGAAACTAACAAATGACAATCTTTCAAATACATGAGAGTGAGCTCCATGAGGAGCCTCCCTGGAGTGTTTACCCTCCTAAGACTGGAGGCGTTGGTATTGTTAATTGTTACAGATGAGTTCTAGCTGTCCTGAAAATGGAGGTTGTTTGTTGAGTGATTTTTTTTTCCCCAGAGGAGAAAAGAAAACATCTTTACCTCACGATAAAATCCAACACCACATTATTTTACAGTGATCTACAGGAAGACTCACAGGGTCTATTTCCTAACAATGTGCATCTTCCATACAGTAATAGTATTCTGGGTGATGACCTGAGATTGTTTCTTAACTTTCTTTCTGAAGAATGATTAATAATAATAATAAATTAAAGAAATATAAGTGCCACAATAGTGTCACTAATCCCCACAAATGTATCCAGTGAAATAAGCCCCAGTGTGCATGTTTGCTTTCCTGTACTGTTCAAGAAAACATGACTGTTGCTTATTACTGTATTAGATAAAGTTCTCTACAGGTACAGAGAATATTTGTACAGTTGTGTGAGGGCCTTATTAGGTGGGCTTTTGGGGTCGGAGGCAGGAGAGTCCACAGTGGCTGCAGCATGCGGGAGACCGGGAGAACCCAGGAGCAGCTCAGTCCAGGAGACTGGAAGCCAGAGCAGGCAGGGTTAAGATCGCAGTGCCAACCCAAGGCCAACGGCCTGGGAGCTCACTGGAGGCTCCCGGTGCAGGTCGGCTTTGTAAGGCTGCAGCAGCTGCGCAGACGAGAGCTCTTCAGCAGGGAGCACCTTTCCCCCTCCTTTCCCCCTCCTTTCCCTTTGCTGTTCCGTCTAGGCTGCAAGCCTTTAGTTGCTGCCGTCTGTATCTGGGGGGATGTTCCACACCTCAGTTTCACGCCTCCAGATGTACCCAGATCTGTGTCTCGTAAATCTGCTAGGTATTTCTTAATCCATTCACTTTGACATATGTACTAGTCACTGCCTCATTGCTGCAACACAATACCTGACACTTGCCATTTGCAGAAGTTTATTTTGGCTCACGGTTTCCAGTGGGTTTAGTCCATGATTAACTAACTCTAAAGCACGATGGAGGGGCCTGGCCGTGGAAAGCTGCTCACCAGTGGCTGCCAGGAAGCAGAGAGAAGGGAGGAGCCAGAAAGAAGAAGACACCCAAGTCATGCCTCCAGTGACTCCTCGTTTGACCAGGCCCCATCTCCAAATGTAAGACTTTTGGGGGACAGTGTGGATCTAAGCCGTAGCATTCTGCCCCTGGCTCAACGCTCAGGGCAGCTTTCAGTGAGATGTGAACTGTAAAGGGCGTGGGCAGCTCTACCACTGTGGCATGCTGGTTGCCACCCACATGGCATCTCTCTGAGGCTGGCTCAGCTCACTGCCTGTGACTTTCCTCAGCAGACTTCCCACGTCCTAGCATGCCCACCTTCCCGGGGTCCCCCTGCTCCTTCACCTTCACGCTCACAGCTTCATACACCGCCCCCTCGAGGCTCCTCGTCTGACTTCAGGCTTTCCTGTGAAATCCAGGTGGCAGCCTCCATGACCCAGTAACTACATTCTGCATCGCTGTAAAACAACACCATGCGGATGATGTCGAAGGTTTGCAGTGTCCTGTCCCCTGTGCCTGCAGTAGCCTCTGAGAGCCTGGGTGGCTGAGCATAATGAAGTGAATCCTGGCAGACCAATTTCCTAGGTGGCCCTTTTCAAGCAGGGGGAGCCAGAAGGTATCTTCTTAAATGAAAAGTTTATAGTTTTGCCCCTTTGAACTGTGATGGGTGAGGTCCTGTTGATTCTTGAGAGGACTTCAAGCCATTTTGCCCTTTGCCTGTCGTCCTGATGCAAAGTGTAAAGATTACTTTTCCACCCTCGTTGCCGTTAGGGACAGTTGTATTCAGAATCCCATGGAGTGCCTTCCTCACTGCCTCACAAGAGTGTAACAGACCACAGACTGTTTAGCACAATGCTTAGTCGGTGAGAACTGGTTTTCTCCTTTGCCATTGGAGAATAACAGATGCATTAGATGGAACTTATACTTTTTCTAGATATCATAATGATAATTTCCATGAAATTTATAGTCCAAATTTGGTAGGATAAGTCACCTTAAAAAATGTTTATTCTTCATACATAAACCTGCTAGCAACAACCAAAACCAAACCACACTTTGTGTGGTCCTTCACACAGAGCACTTGGTTTCTTTTTAATGCTGGTCTTTTCAATGACTGAGCTCTGCTTAGCCCTAGCTTTAGAGGTGCTTCCTTTCTGGACACCAGCAGATTTTTTCAGATTGCTCAGCTCTGATTTTTGGCCCCATTCTCACTGTAAGTGAGATTCTCACTGCAGTGTGCCCATGCAGTACCCATGCTGCAGGCTGAATGTTGGCCTGGCCTGACGTTTCTGCTGCCAGATAAATTAGCTGCCTTTTTGGTCTTAGGACATGGGCAAATGAAGACCAGTTTTTAACACATGGCCTCTACTCCGATTACCAACAGGGCCTGTGTCTGCATTCCCAGCAGTACTCTCGTCCTCTGACCTCCAACCAGAATCACTCGCCAAGCCTGG